ATTGCTGCTTTGTGCTCTCGATCTTTCTTTCGCCGCAAATGTTCTTGACATTATTCTGTGACTCACTTGGTTTGACGGAAAATGAGATCAATGCTTTGATGCCTAAAGATCTCGAGTCTTATACTTGTTTTATCAAGTTTGAGAAGATGTTTATGACTTTGGCAAATAATCGGGTTTCGCTCTGAAGTTTAACAGATATTTTCTAACCGCATGATTGCGACGAGAGATGCTGTATATTCCTCGAGATTATTTCCCAGACAGTTTGGATCAGTCTTTAGCACTTAGACGGTTTTTAGATTGTCGTTTGCTTATGGGATGATTTCGACGAGGCGTTGCATCGTCCGAATATTTTTCCGCTTATTTTAGAAAGCGTTTTCTTGATGAGAGGAAAAATGTTCCGCGAAAGAAGAAAGACGAGTTTCGTTTGAAGGATTTGGATGATAGACAATCCGGGTCGATTAAAGACCATGGTTGATCGGAGATGACTTGGAGTATGTCTGATTTACGAGAACTTCTAGGAGCGAGTCGGTTTTAAGACGACGTCAGCGTCTCTAGCTCCTTCTTTCTTTTAGGAAATGAGTACGTTTGAATGCGTGGCGATCGTTTCTCGGTTGTACGAGAGATTGGATTGGTTTGCGAGTTATGCCTGAATGGTTAGAGAACAACAAATCGNATACCTTAGCTTCATCGATGATTTGGGGTCGTCTATTCTTCGTTCTTCATCTTTTGACCTACCGGTCTTCGACGAATTACCAGCGAGAGTATCGGAGCGGGGAGAAGACTTAACCATCGGAGCTCGTGTTCTTGTTTCTTCGTACTGCTGGTTTTATTTGACCGACTAGGTGCGCTTTGTATATCGAAAAAATCAATCATGTGTTTATGATTGGATGTTTTCGCATTAGCGTGGCAGAGTTTCGTAAAATCGGATTAGGTTTAGAGAGTTCAGAGTTCTCGTATAGTTTAGGCAACTTTGGTGTTAAGTCAACCGTTGCTGTTTTAGACGATTGATTCGAACTTATACGAAGAAACCAGTCTTTGCGGTTTTATCGTAAAATTCCGATGGAAATTCCGGTTCAGACGAAATGAGAATCAGCGCGATCAAGACTTCGAGAGAACTCAAGGATTTGTTCAGCTCGACGTAAGGCAAGTCGGGTGAACCCTTTCAGCCCGTCCTGTGGCGATCTGGATTGTAAGAACCCTTGGGGTGAAGTCAGCGTCTCTTGGGCGAGCCAGGCGCTTGGGTCACCTCGCTGTATGGCGAGCTAGCTAGCTCTACGTTTGGTCAGCTAAGACGCTTGGCGCGGGTGATCTCGATTCGTCGAGTTGACTTGTTTTCGTCTTGGAATCTCAACGGAAAGTCCGATTGAGACGAAACGAAAAGCGCTCGATCAAGATTTGAGATGGAGATGTTTCGATCCATCGAGCTTGTCCAACTTGCCTAATGGTGAGTCGGCGAGCCCAGTCCCAATTAATCAAGCTATCTTGTTTTCGTGCTAAAACCTCAACGAAAACTTTGATTGAGACGAAACGAAAAGCAGTGCGATTATTGTTTAGAGTACGGTCCGGCTCACCATAGCTATGAGTTGGATTGTGTGGACCCTCGGGAAAAAGTCAGTGCCTCTGGGACGAGGTGGAAAGCCGGTCAGCTCGCCAAGATGGCAAGTTAGGTTGCTTGGCCAACTCACCGTCTTTTCGGCTGGATAGTATTGTCCGATTCTGCGAGTAGCCTAAGGTTCTTCCGTGAGCAACCTAGGGTTTTGTCGCGAATAACCTAGGGTTTTTCCGCGAGTAACCTAGGGCTTTCTCCGCGAGTAACCTAGGGCTTTCTCCGTGAGTAACCTAGGGTTTTTCCGCGAACAACCTAGGGTTTTGCCGCGAATAACCTACGGTTTTTCCGCGAGTCACCTAAAGCTTTCTCCGCGAGTAACCTAGAGTTTTTCCGCAAACAACCTAGGGTTTTGCCACGAATAACCTACGTTTTTTCCGCGAGTCTCCTACGGATTTTTCCGCGAACAGCCTAGGGTTTTCCGCGAGTATCCTAGGATTTATTTCGCGGGTAAGTTACGGTTTGTTCCGCGGTTTCTGGGAGAGCAAGTTTTATTTTACCGAAAGGTTCTCAGAAAACGTCTGTTGCTTAACGCGTGAGATTTGTCCAACTCGGAAATAAGAAAAACACTATGGGGTTTGATAGATTTTATCGTTGCCCTTAGTGATCTGAGATAGAAATCGTGAGCTTGTTTTGTTGCTCTTTCCATGGCGAAGAGTCGCGATTAGGTTTTCGATTTTGTTGAGTACTACAGCGTTTGCGCGAGCGTTGGCTGTAGGAGCAGTCGCTGCTGGAGTTGTTTTACCAGCGTCTTTTTGCGAGTTGCGACTTTGTCTTTCATACATCCAGACATCGTTTTGGTCAAGCGTTTTGCGGCTATGAGTAAGAGTAATCCGACCCCCCCCCCNTACTACAGCGTTTGCGCGAGCGTTGGCTGTAGGAGCAGTCGCTGCTGGAGTTGTTTTACCAGCGTCTTTTTGCGAGTTGCGACTTTGTCTTTCATACATCCAGACATCGTTTTGGTCAAGCGTTTTGCGGCTATGAGTAAGAGTAATCCGACCCCCCCCCCTCCTTCTAGCGCCAAACTGTGGGAACCGAAATTCACACCTGTCGATTTCCGTAAAATAAGGAAAGTTAGGAAAACCTTAATTTTCCAGAGGAACCGGATCTCTGCGAAAGACAACGACAAGTAACCAAGAACGTGATTAATATGAATAAATTGAAAGATATAAAAATAAAAACGAGATTGAAAGCAAGAAGGATTCTTATTCCGAATTCGTGTAAGAACGGTTACAACGAGAGTTGCCTTGGCTGCGTGAGCCGTCGGCGAAATTCCTAGTTCTAGTAATCTAAGACTAAAACCCTAGTTGAGACGCAGCTCGATAACGAAAACGGAAAATTGCCTAAATGCTAAGTTTAGTGGTGAAAGCTCTGAAAACTCGTCCCTCAGCTTCTGCCCTTTGCCTCCTCCTTATATACTCCTCCTTAGGTGGTTTTAGTCTTTCCATTTTGCTCGAAACCGAATATTTCGGGAACTTTCCATATCTGTCGATCCTTCCTTTTCTTTAGCGGAAATCTTCTATTGATCTTCAAACTTGCCTTTTATCTTCCGTCTGCGAGTAGGCCGTGAAAGCGTTATCGTATCTTCGGGTTTGATTTCGTTAACGTCACGAGATGGGTTTTTATCGTGTTTTAGGACCTTTCGGGCCGTTTTACGATAAAAACCGTTTTATGACTTTAACGAGACCGTTTCCTGATCCGATGCCGTTTTTACGATTATCTCTACGTTTTTTATTAAAAACACGTTTTTATAATCTTAAAAAAAAATCTCGGATAAATCGTATAGTTTAGGCGACGTTCGGGGTTTTGATTAACCATTACCGTTTTATACGATTTCTTCGAGTTCTTTTCGGGAAAACGGAGTTTACGGTTTTTATCGTAAAACTCAAACGATAGGGTGGATCGAGACGAAACGGGAGACATTTCGAACGTGATTCGGAATACGATTTTGTCGAAGAACGTATGCCTTGAATCAAGGATGTGGGAGATCGAGGCTCGGGATGGTCGGCTCGACGTACGGCGAGCTAGTTCAGCTTGTCTAGGTCGCCATATGGCGAACTAGTCGAAAAGAACAAGTGGGGCAAAGTCAGCACCTCTTAGTTCGCCCAATGGCGATCTATCCGGGACGGGACTAGTTCGCCCATCGGCGAACTAAGCCGGGCCGGCTTAGTTCGCCGATGGGCGAACTAGTCTAGTGCCTCCTAGTTCGCCCATCGGCTGTTTCGGTTTTTTACGGTTTTGTAAAACGATTCTTCGAGTTTTATAAGACGATTCTTCGAGTTTTATAAAACGATTCTCGAGTTTTATAAAACAATTCTTCGGGTTTTCTAAAACGATTCTTCGGGTTTTATAAAATGATTCTCGAGTCTTATAAAACGATTCTTCGAGTTTTATAAAACGATCCTCGAGTTTTATAAAACGATTCTTCGAGTTTTATAAAACGATTCTTCGAGTTTTATAAAACGATTCTCGAGTTTTATAAAACGATCTTCGAATTTTATAAAACGATCTTCTAGTTTTATAAAACGTTTTCTCGAGTTTTATAAAACGATCTTCAAGTTTTATAAAACGATCTTCAAGTTTTATAAAACGGCTTCTCGAGTTTTATAAAAAGATCTTCGAGTTTTATAAAACGATCTTCGAGTTTTATAAAACGGCTTCTCGAGTTTTATAAAACGATCTTCGAGTTTTATAAAATAGCTTCTCGAGTTTTATAAAACGTCTTCTCGAGTTTTATAAAACGATCCTCGAGTTTTATAAAACGATCTTCGAGTTTTATAAAACGATTCTCGAGTTTTATAAAACGATTCTTTGAGTTTTATAAAACAATTCTCGAATTTTATAAAACGATCCTCGAGTTTTATAAATCGATTCTCGAGTTTTATAAAATGATCCTTGGGTTTTATAAAACGATTCTCGACTTTTATAAAACGGTCCTCGAGTTTTATAAAACGATCCTCGATTTTTATAAAACGATTCTTCGGGTTTTACAAAACGATTCCTTTTATATTTCTGCGGGGAGTTTCGGCCGTTGATTCCGTCGTACCGATTTTGACTCCAACATCCGGACGGTTTGGTTTTCGGGTCTTGACCTGTCTCTTTTCGTACTGATATTTCCGGGGACCCTTGTTTGCAAATACTTGTGTTCTTCCAAAGTTTTTCGGGAAGAAGATAATACTCTTAGCAGTTGATTTCGAGATAACCGTTTTTGACCCCAACAGTTAGCCCCTCAGCTTGTGAGCCTATTTTCTCGTAGATTATCTTTTGAGAGATTATTTTTTATTGCGGAAATCCATGTCACCCTTATATCCTTATAAGTAGCCACCCATCATTCATAATTCTCCACACACCTCATTCTCTGAAAGCTTTTCTCTCTCCATATTTTCAAGCAAGAATGTCATCCTCCCAAAACGAAAAGAAGAACTCCGACGTCGAGATAGGCGAAGCCAGCTCAGCTGTGCCGATTTCGGTCATCCATGCATCCACTCCGACCATCATCACTAGATTTTTTTACTTCAAGGAAAGGTTAACCTAGCGTCATGCGGAGAACGAAGCGAATCGGACCCAGCCTGAGGTGTCAGCTATCCCTACCTTGTCGGCGATGTGGACCTCTGCAGAAGGAAACAAATTCTTTGGTGAAGCTACGTCCCTTGCAGAACCAGCCACGATTCGTGTACAAGTTCCGGAGGCCTCGGTCCAACCCTCGGGTTCTTCGATCACACCAGTCCCAGCTCCTAAGGAGGAGAAGGCGACGGAGTTGATGCCTCCGCCTTTGGATAGGAAGGAGATCGTTCTAGGGCTTCCTGCGCCCAGTGCTGCTCCTTTGACCAGAAGTCGCAAGAGGACTGGCGCTGCGACCGAGAAGAAGAGGAGATGTACCGCTGGTGCATAAGGGGAGTCCTCAGGACCTTTGTCGCAACATAGTGCTAAGGTTTGTTTCGACTATTTTCAGCGTAAGCCACCTTGTTCTACGATTATCCTGACCCTTATTTCATGTATAGTTCGTATCTCTGATTGACGGGATGCTCAGTGACTGCGGATCAGAGATAGAGCGTTCGACAAGGGGCCTGGCTGAATCGCGAGAGACCTTGACACGACCCGAGGCCGCACTGAAGTCCACTGAGGATGCACGTGCTGCTGAGCTTTCTTGGCTGGAGGTTCGGGTCAGCGATCTTTAGAGGGACCTTGGAAAGTCGGCGAGTGCGTTGTTCAAGCTGAATAAATAGAAGAAGAGCAAGGCTTCCGAAATCCGTCGTCTCCAGCGTGAAATTCAGAGCCAAGAGGAGTCGAGGACTGTTGTCTCGAGGGACGATTTTCACGCTCGCCTAAAGAGGATGGCTATTCTGTTCAGTTCCCTCATGGCAGTCTGTGAGAAGGACCTAGCTCTGGCGAGCATCAAGGGAAGCTTGAACGAGATCCAGCTGCTCAAAGGCGAAGTGGTTCGGACTCTGGACTCCTGAAGAAGCCAGGCTTGTTGGGGTCAAAATCGGTACGACGGAATCAATGACCAAAACTTTCCGCAAAAATAAAATATGTTTTATAAAACACGAGAAGTTGTTTTATAAAATTCTAAGGACTTTCCGAACAAAGGAAATCCGAGGAAAATTTGGAGATTATCATTCCAGAAGAACGAACGAAACAATCGCCGATTACACGATTGCCCAAGTTAAGCAAAAAAATCGCAAAAAACCACATCTGTCGTAAATCGTGAGCAGGTTCGACCGAACCAGTTCAACGTACGACGAGCTTAATCAGCCAGTTCAGCTTGCCGTACAGAGAACTGGTTCGTCCCAGAGGAACAAGAAAAGCTCTTTGGTTCACTCGCAAAACAGGTTGAAACCTTAACTGCGAAAACCAAGGCAATTAGCCCCCGCGGAACTACTAGGATCCGTGGAAGAAGGCTCGATTTTGGGACTCCTATGTATCGCCCCAGAACCCAGCAAGGAAATCCGCCGGAGAAAAACTCCGAAAAAGATATCCCTGACGCGACACTGAATGAATTGGACAAATCTCCTACTCGCAGACATGAGACCGAAGAAAACGGTGTCAAAAGGGTTAACCTGGAATCAAGCAACCAATCTGATCCGTCGGATGAAGATGCAGACATCCATCCGTGGAGGAGGAAAGATCGCAGCCCTCAGCCGGAATCCTCTCCCGTGCGTTCTCTTACTGAGGACGAAGAGGAACTGTACTGCGCACAACGCGTAAAAACGGCCGAGGAACGATCTCGAGTTACTCGCAGCAAACGCCGACAAGGTCGGAAAACTGATGGCGAACTAACAGAGATTCGCGATCTCCGCGAGTACATCACTAAAACAGCCGCAGCGGTAAAAGCGGTGAAATCTCTAATTCATCATGCTACCAGAGCCGCACCCAAAAAAGATCGGCTGCGATACGAATCTCGGAAAACACCTTTCACGGCTCGCATCACCGAGGTCAAGCTACCGATCCTGGAAAGCTTAGAGTGCCGACCTACGACGGGATGCCAATCCCAAAGCGCACATGCAGGCCTTCCAGATCACCATGGGACGAGCCAAGCTCAAGGATCACGAAAAAGATGCGGGCTATTGCCGTCGTTTCGTCGAAACCTAGAAGGAGCGGCACTCGAGTGGTTCGCGAAGCTTAAGCAGAATTCAATCGGGAGTTTCCGCCAGCTTGCTTCCGAATTCCTGAAGCAATACTCGATGTTTATAAATCGGGAAACTTCCGATGCCGACCTCTGGAGCTTATTCAGAAGGAAGACGAACCTCTCCGCGACTTCATGAGCAAGTTCAAACTTATCATGGCTAGGGTTAGCGGAATAAGCGACAGAGCCGCCATCGATGTGCTCAGGAAATCGCTCTGGTTCAAGTCAAAGTTTCGAATGTGGATAACTCTCGAGAAACCGCGGACAATCCAGGATGCGCTCCACAAAGATACCGATAACATAACCATCGAAGAGGAGACTGAAATCCTGTCTGAGAAGCATAAGCCGGCGAAATCGTCCGCAAAGGACATCACGTCCGAGCAGAAGCCGAAAAAGAAAAACCCTCGTAACGACAAATTCGTCCATTAAGAGGGATAGGATCTCCAACGGGCGCACAACTACACCATCAATTCCGGATCGGAACAAGGGCGAACTACGGGGAACACGGGGTCAAGGAATCCGAATTACGACGAAAATTCCTTCTGCGTTCTCCACCAAAGTCGCTGACACTCTACAGTGAACTGCAAAGTTCTCAGCGCCAGACTGGGAGAACTCTCCGAGGTATCCAGCGTGAAGGACCTCATCCACGATTCAGATCGCCCCCCAAAAACTGAGAGGAACTCGCGGGCGGAAACTCCGCCTCAAGGGAACCAGCCGGGCGAGAAACACGGACGAAGACAAGACGAGAAAGGTAACGATGCGAACCGCCGAAAGATCAACCTGATCATCGGCGAATCGCAATACTACAGCGACACCATCTCGTCCATCAAGTCCTACCAACAGAAAGACGAAACTGGTTCAAGTTGGAACGTACCATTGGATAACGCTCCAAAGGGAGTAATCGCTTTCGATGACATGGAAACCGGCGGCATCGATCAACCACACGGCGATCCTCTCATCATTGAATTAGTCATAAGCTACTTAGAAATTGCTCGAATCCTGGTCGACACCGGAAGTACCGTCAACGTAATTTTCCGCAACACGTTGGCGCGCATGGGAATCGATTTATAGGAGATCGAGCCAATACCAAAGCCATTGACCAGTTTCTCCGGCAAAACGACTATGACTCTAGGATTGATCCGGCTTCCGGTCACCGTGAAAGAAGTGACAAAAGTCGTCAACTTTGCAGTCGTCGATTCTCCAGCTATCTCGTGATCATGGGCACGCCTTGGATAACCTCCATGAAGGCGTTTCTAGCGACGTACCACTTAGGCATCAAGTTTCCAACCCCTACGAGAGTCGCGGCAATTTGGGTATGCCAGAGATAATCGCGATCTTGCTTTTCAGCTGAACATAAGCTAAGGCAGTTGGCGGTCGCAAATTGTGAAACCGAAACGGGCAAAATTAACACTGCCGCCCGCGGAAAACAAACCCAAAACAGCAACGGTTGAGGAGCAGCAAGCCTACGCACCCATCGCCTCTACCCAACCAGAGGAGACAAACCCGTACCAAGACGCCGATCCAGCGACTAAAGTGATCGAGAAGTCTGCGACAGCCAAGTAAGCACACTCGCACCAACAATCAGAACTATGAGATGGCTTGATTTCCGAAAGGAATACGTAGGCAGCTCTCCTAAAGACGAGTTCAGCTATCCCTCTTTCCGAAACGGGGGGGGGGGAGTGGGTGCGTATACGAGTATTCTTATACTCCCAAATTTTAAAACATTCGCTTTGTAATCGAAATTTTCAAAACTTTTTAATAAAGACAAAGTTAGTATATTAAAAAATCTCTCTACTACCGAAAAGCGTAATAACGAATTCCAAACATCCAAAAATTACTTCCGAAGTAACAACTACTTGATCTTTTCGACAAAAAACTTATACACCAAATATTTTCGAAAAGAACCGGCGAGACGTCGCCTAAAGTCTTAGAGAAATATTTTGCAAAATTCCCTCTGCGACTATAAAATCACAAACGCTCAATGATTGGCCCCGTCGAACACGCTAGCCGTCCTAAACAATAGCATAGACCCATCGGTCCGCATATATCCGACTAGGATAAAAATAGCGCCCTATAAAAGAAATCCAAATTTTTGGTCAGCACTTCCGGGAGACTTAAAAATTGTCCTCGGTGAGATGCTGGATTCCAACAAGACGAATAGTATAAGCCGAGAACCTATCGAGGATTCTAAATCGGTATGGAATCATGTTAAAATCGCAACAGACAAAACGAAAGCCGACTAGTCATCACATAGCCTCAATCCGAAAGTAAACCTCGGTCTTACCCTAAAGCCAGCACACTGGTCTCTAACGTCTCAAGGCATGAATTGAGATCCTAAATGCATGTCTCTTTACCCACATCTAAAAACTCGGGAAAAATCGAAACACTCCAAGTAAACGAGCCGGACGATCTACACCAAGACTTAGATGCGAGACGACAACTCATACTCTTCCCTCTACATCTAAAACGAAACACAGATTTCATACTTAGAAAATATTCTTATTAATATTTTCGTTCAAATACACGCCACCTAGCGGCAGGAATTCAAAGCCACCAACGGCCAGTCCTGATAAACTTTACAAACAATATCATACTAAAAAAAAAGACATCAAATTCATTGAAATTACAAAACTTGAACGCCGAGCTTTGGCCAGCATTAGCATCAATCCACAGCTTATCAACTTCGCTGTTTGCATCTGGGATCTCTGGCCCAACCTCGACTGAATCCGGCAACACTACAATGGGGTTCCACTGCTCCTACATTTGCGCCTCGAGGTCTAGAAACTCGTCTTTCTTCTTCTCTCGTTTAGCCAAGCACGCTTTTTGCTTGGCAAACTCAACCTCATACGAATAGTGCGCGATGAACTCTCGCGTCGGACAGCTCAAGGACACAATGAGAATCAGCCTCGTACTCCTCCCTCACACGGGCAGTCCCCCTTCTAGCAAAATCCTGGGCGCAAGAGATGTTGGCATCGGTCTCTTCACTGAGACGAGCAGCCTCCGTCTCCGCCACCTTTTCCCTAGATTCAGCCTTACGAATCTCTGCATCACTTACGCTCACCACTTCACTCATAAAGCGAAGACCCTGCAAAATAAGAGAAGTCTTTTGTAAAAATCCGGTCAAATGTAAAACAAATACGAAAATCGGTAAAAAACAACAGACCTTGTTGAAAAGTATCGACGCCTTCGCAAACGGGGTATCAGCTGGTATCTCGGACGACGTCTCGGCCGGATCAAACTCGGACGAGGGAGCCGAGAAGTTGATATAATCTTCATTATTAATATCTTCGTCAAACCATCGGCCATGACCAATCAGAACATCTCTCTCCTGCGGAGATCTAGATCTCTCCCTCGCTTCCGCATCTTTGTCTGTGTTAATCTCGACACGATCATTCTGAGAGAAAACAGAAGAGTAATAAGCGACGGTGCGACGAACTCTCTTTGGAGAAAAGTGTCCCCAATAAAGTGGACCGCCGCGAAGAAGGCTCATAACCAACTTGAGGTCTTCAAGTAACGACCCAAGGGGGGTAGACGCTTGTGGGAACCGAAATTCACCCTTGTCGATTTCCGTTAAATAAGGAAAGTTAGGAAAACCCTAATTTTCCAGAGGAACCGGTTCTATGCGAAAGCCAATGACAAGTAACCAAATAAATGTGGAAAATATGAAAAACGTAATAAAACGAATTTATTGAGAAAGTCGATCTTATTTCCGATTCGCGTAAGAGCGTTGCGATCATTACAAGTAATTACAAAGGCTTTGGCCGCAAGGGCCATCAGCGAGTTACAAACATAAAACCCTAAATCTAGTCGAGTCGCAGCTCGATAACGAAAGAC